AAAAAAAAAAATCTTGACAATTTGTCTTAAACTAAAATCCAGGTTAGTAGCTATCCCAAGTAGACTTTTAGAGACAGTTAGATTAGATCTATTTTCCATATTACAGTTTTTATTTTAAATTTAATTCTACTGACTTCTAAAAGCAACTTCACGTTAATGGAGAAGGACAGACAAAAAGAGGAAATAATTTGGGAAATAGTTTTCTGAAATAAATCAGCATCTCAACTGTAAAAGAACAACTGCTAGGAGTAAACAGTAAATGGGAGTCTGATTGCTAAGAAGATAACTTCTTATAGTAGATCGATTAAAGATGTTAATGGGCCATCTTATGTATCTGTTAAATCTCATGAGTTTCAAATGCTCTGAAGTATGTTTTGGCATCAGTGCAGTGACTGAAGGCATGGGTTTTGATGTCAAGCATTAGGCGTTTGCATGGGGTGGCAAAATGTAGTATTTTCCACATTTTGGGAAGATTACCTTTGGAGTCATATGAATACAATTAGAGTTGCATTAAAATGTTCTCTTCTGAATTTGGAGAGATTGAGAAGCAATTAACCTGTGGAAACTGCATGCTTGTTTTTTAAATTGCTAGCTGAAGGCTAATAGTGAAATGATTAATAGCTTCGATGAAGATTATTCTCACTAGTAATTCTGATTCCTCTTTCATACTGGAAATAATTCCAAAATAACTCATTTAAAAAAAAAAAAAAGCCAACAAACTAAAAACTTGTGTAAGCAAGAGCAGAGCTGGGCAGAGTGTTCCTCTGTAGTGGGTTTAATTTAATTTAGAAGGATATTACACAAAAATATGGAATCTTAACATGTATTTGATAGCTTACAGAAAGATTGAAGGCTTTTTCTTTGTTTCTTTTCTATTGTGGGAAAAGTGAAGTGATCCTCTAGAGAAAGACAGCAAGAGATCTGAGGACAAAGGCCAATGTTATAGTTTTACTTAAAATTATCTAATCTTATTTAAAAATTATTTCAATGCTATTAAAAAAAAAAAGCCTAAAGTCAAGCAAAACTATTGCCTTTCTACTGAGTTTACAGACCCTTTTCCAAGATGAAAAAACAAAAAAGATTCAACAGAATTTAGGAATTTTTCCAATTAGTTTTCTATGGAATTAAAAAAACAGATGATAAATTTATCTTCCTTTCTTCCCATCTTCATTGTTCTAGCCCTGGCATGATAGCACAAAACTCAAGTTATGTATTGCACAACTGGTACTTCTGTCTGTTTTCTGTACCGACATACTGAAATGTTTCCTTCATGTAACTCTCTTCAAACTTTTTCTTTTTATAGTGCTTTTTATTTAATGACTCATTGGCTATTCAGTCCTGTTACTACAGTGTAGGTTTCCTGTTTGCTAGCTTATTTTTAAAGGTAAATGTTATCACTTCAGTGTAGATGACTGTCAAACTCGTTACATTTAAGATAGGAAGCTGAACTCCAATAAGAGTCTCAAAGGAGGAGAAAACCTTGCTGGTATGTACATCCATTAAGCAGCCTTGCTTGCCAAGTGTACATTAGCTACTTTTGTAACTTTAAGAAATTTCATCTGAGCTTTCATTTCGCTGACCTAATTTAACAAGAAGGAAATTCAATAACAACCCCTAATACTGAAACATTATTTCCCAAGAGAAATTTAACAGTGCTTCTACATCAAATAATAATGTGTGAATAGTGGAATATGTATGCCAATGTCAACAGGACGGGGGAAAAAAGAAGAAAAGAGAGAACAAAAAAAAAGAAAATATTGTATCTCCTTTTCAAACAATCCAATAACTTTTCAGTTGTTAAGGAAATTAGTAAGATCTTGAAGACTTCCTTTCAACTTTGAATTCATATTATCTTTAAGAAGAAACATTTCTAAGTATCTGCGAGTAAATCACGTTTGGGGGACTCTGTATCTTTGATTCAAAAGAACATATTTTTGAATTATGATAGATAATATACAAGGTGGAAGGCCACATTTCCAGCCTAGGCCCCAGAGATTTTATCCTAAACTCTTTTAAATCAACACAGACTTTTATTGGAAATGCCTTGAGTAGCAGGTCAATATCAAATACCAGGAAGAATCTGTGAAAGTTTTACATAGCTCTTCTTCAAATAATCAAAAATATATAAGATGGTAGTAACCCATGATGTCATGTTATCGAACTAGAGACTAGATGGAGTTGCCGCATGCAATCTTACTGCACCATCAAAATCAGTGAAGAGGAGGAAACCCACTCGAGATTGTTACTGCTTGAAGTTTTCTGCCACACGTGAAAGAGTATGCAAGGAACGGCTAACCACAGCCAGTTAATGTTCTTTTCTTTAGACATGAGAAAAAATTCCTCATTAAAATTGTCAGAAAGGATACCCTATTAAGAAGACAAAATATAGGCTTTCACTATTTAGTCACGAACAAGAGGCATATTTCCCACACAGCAGAGACTGGGAAGACTGCTAAAAGGTACTGGTTCCAAAATACCCAACTACGCTTTCTCACTAAAGAATAACCAAGTAAGAAAACTTCTGTAGTGTCTTTAGTTTATGGATACTACATATGTAGCATCTGGAAGATTTAGTATGTGTACAGAACGTTATGTTATTAACACTCAGGAGTATATGATGTTTCTTACAGGCAAGATTCTGGGGGAACGCACAGATAAATGTCTGACCTTACTCGCATTGAAGTCATTGTTAAAGCTTCCTTGTGTTCGTACATACGACCCGGTAGATTTGTGATTGAATGATATCTCTTGGGAAAATGTGGTTTCTTAATTTATATAGAATATAATAAATCAGAACAGAAAACATAAATGGGGAAGAAGTAAAAAAAGTGTTGTTATTCTATTTAATAATATAAATTACGTTAGAAATAGTTTTTATTAGTTATATATTTTTTAAAGTTATCTCTGTAAAATACAGATGGCCAAATTGGACTGGACAATGCATTGTAGTTTTCTCCAACTTTTCTTCAAAGTAAATACATCAGAAGTTAAGGAATGTTTTCCAGACTAAAGCTAGAACTTACTAAAGCACACATGCAAAATATAATGAGGTAACTCCTTCAAAGTAGGAAAAATCTCTACTCTGCTAGCAGAGAATGGTTGGGAAAAAAAAATGAAAAAAAAAAGTTGAAAATGCATCTTCTCTCTGCTTCTCTAGTCTTGGTCCTTTCCTCTCATTTTGCTTTCTCGCTTAGCAGTTACCCACGTCATCCTCAAGATTTGCACAAATTTGCTTGGATGCGTAGGAAAGGATCTTTCTGTCACCTCTGAAGGTTGACAGTGGGTCTGTTTCCTAATGGAAACCAGCTTCTCCACTCCTCGTGGTAGCAGGTGCTCCCCTTTGCAGTGAAGACACCCTGCCTCCCGTTTCTCCTGGAGGCCTCCGGCTGCACCCCACAGTCCTGGAGCTGCCCCAGGCCTTGGGGCTCCGTCACTCTGTGAACACGCAATCTGCTCCTCCGCTCCCCCAGCTCAAAACGTAGCATGCAGGGCAAGGCCAGCAGCCCTCCACTCCGCTGGTCCATCCTAACATGACCACCATGCAATACGCAGAATTTGTATGGCAAAAAGTCAGTGAACAAACTGATGGGGCTGAATAGATGGCAAGAATATTTTAAAAGTACAAAAAGGAAATGTGCAAAAAGAAAGAAAACATTATGGTGATTAGTTCACACTATTGTGTGTTTAATATACCTGAGTATACTTAGTCTAGGCTCTCTATAGACTAATCTGTATTCAGTATGCAATGATATTTGTAGTAGCTCTATCATACTTTTTGATGATTTATACTTACTGTTAAAATAATTTATATTAACTAAATGCTTTGGAATGAACTTGATTGGTGATTTGAGTGTTTGGAAGTTTTTATTGTGATTTTTGTTTTCCTGGTTTGGATGCTCAAAACAAGTCAGAAGAAACCTGCAAGGTTAAACATTTGAAAAGAGTCTAACAAATGTTTCAAAACAAAACAAAACAAAACAAAGCTGGAATGGAAACAATTCACATGTGGGCTGATGCCAAATAAAAATATGAGGAGAACCTGGCTGAATTTGTCTTGCTAAGATATGAACTTCTCATAGTTCTGTGAGAAGAAGGAAAACAAAACACAAAAATAAGGTGGAGACAAAGCAAAGATGAGTTTGAGGATATTTTCTTTCTCTGCGAACATGCTTCCCATTGTGAGATGCATGCAAGTACTTTGCAAAACTAAGACTATTTAGGATACTTGCAATACAGGCCTCATTTATTAAATACTTTCTATTTTTTGAGGCTGTTTGCATCACTCCATATTGCAAGAAGTCCACCTCAAGAAGTTTTTCTGTTTAAAAGTTTGCTTCTTGTCATGTTGTATTTCTTCTGATGCATATGATTTTCTCTTTTGCCATTTAAAACACCCCAGAGATGCTAAAGCTGGTGTTTTTCCTTTTCCTCATTGCTAAAACTGCCTAGTGTTGGTTTTTCAGGCCTCTTGATAGTAAGATTAATAAAACACTGGATTTCCTGGAAATCAAATCAGTTGGAAAACATTTGAAGTAAAGTCTGGGATATTTAATGTGTAAGTTCTAGCAATATTAATCCTCTAGTCTATATAAAGAAAACTCCTAGAAGCTCCTAAATTAAAAGATTTTAATGGAAAAATAGTTGATCATCTCAGTGCATTCTTATTCTTTCTCATGAAGTATGTTGAAAGCAGCTACCTAACATTTGGAATGTTCTCATAATCCCAAGTTTGCAAGATAACCTTTATATTCATAATCAAGTTACTTTCTATGTCATAAGATTTTGCAGCTGCAGTGTACAGTAGGAGGGGAAGCATTTCAGCTTACATTGTCTCTTTTTTGTTTGCTTTCAGGATTTGGTTACTATGTACAGATCAGAGATGAATTGCTGGAAACTGCTTGGCTGCATCAGCAACTAGAGACATAAGAAAGCTAGTCAAGAAGAACAAAACTGTTGACTCCATCACTGACTAGCTCGGAGAGCATCAGCAGTGGAGAACTATGACAATACAGCAAGTCCTGTTACTTCTGCTGCTCTGGATGTGGCTGCCGCATCCCTGCCGTTCAGAAATGCTGTTCAGAAGGACTCCTGATCTCAAACCGAAAAGCTTTGTGGGACGTGCATCAGGGAGTGATGGAAAAGCACTTCACCGCCAGAAGCGAGGCTGGATGTGGAACCAGTTTTTCCTTTTAGAGGAATACACAGGATCTGATTATCAGTATGTAGGCAAGGTAAGTAAATATTAAGATTTGTAATTTCTATATTGTTTTCAAATTTGCTTATCTTTCTACAGAGTTCCAGTTTCTACATTTTATTCTCCTGCGTAAGAAACAGATTTCCAGGCAACAGTTATATTTCTGTTGTTTATACTGTTAGAATCTCTAGAAGTAGTAAGAATGAAGTTTGCTAGCTAAAGTTATTCAGAAACATTTGAATGAAATAGAATGAAGACGTTTGACAAACTAGTTTTCTTTGGTACATTATTTCTACCAGCAGTCTACTCAATTTCTCTTCTGTATCAGGCTGTAGTATTTCAAAATTTATAAAATCTTTTTCAACTATTTCTCTTTGAATATTTTGTATTTCATGCAAGATAATGTAGATTATCTTTCTGTACTTACACTTGAGCAGTGCAGTTTATTTCAATAAAATTAAAGTGAATTGGGAGCGAACTTCATTAAGAACCACATGATAGAAAAGCAGTGATTAAGAAGTAAAGTACAAGAGGAGTCAGTAGAAATGCTGATATGACTGCGTAGTACACTGGACACCCACTGTCTGGAAGTATCCTTCACATTATTTTCAGTCAATGCTTACGTTTTGCTGGGAAACTTGTTTTAAAAAGTATAAGGTGTAATGCCACAGTGATAAACACAGAGCAAAAGAAAGCGCTGAATTCATTCAGATTTGCTTGTAAATGGAAGCTACCAGCAGCAGTCATGGATACCAGTTACCACCAGTGGATAGTGATAAGCAATTTCATTTTCTGTAACCCAGGTTTTCGTATGAACACACTTTTTAACTTGTAAATTAATGAGGAGAAGTGCTGCCTTGTTGACAAACACAGAATCACACAGTCGCTGTGATCGGAAAGGTCCTCTGGAAATTGTCTAGTCCAACCTCCCTTCTCGAAGTAGAGTCAGCTGCAGCAGGTTGCTCAGGGCCATATCCAGTCCACTTTTAGGTATCTCCAACGATGGAGACTCCAGTACCTTTCTGGGCAACCTGTTCCAGTGTTAAACTACTCTCAAAGTTTAAAAAAAATATATATATAGTTTGTTATGTTTAAATGGAATTTCCATGTATTTCAATTTGTGTTTGATGCCTGCTCAGAAAAGTCTCCATCCTCTTTACATCCTCTAATCAGATACTTGTACGCATCGTCAAGATCCCCTAAGCCTTCTCTTGTCCAGAAGAGTTTGGCTGGCCAGAGTTTCTGGATGGTTCTTTTTATGTGATTTTCTCCAAAACCCAATGTTTAGATAGGTGAAATAAAATGCCACCTTCCTGTTAAATTCCCTGCCATGTGTTTGGAGATGCTATTTTGAAATAAAGTGTGTTTGGAAGAAGCATAAGAGAGAAATAAATCATTCATGGCCAGTGACTAGGAAAGAATGTAGGTCAAGGTGAGGTTTTAGTCAAAAATAAGGACTAAGTATGATTTTTTAAGAATTGAGAATAGTAGTCAGATGACAAATACCTCGCTGAAAGTATTGGCAGAAATTCAAAATCTGGGGTACTAGATACATTTGGATTGTGAATTTGCATCTGCTTGCTTGCACAGCTCATGTGTGTTTGTTTTTCTTTTTTAAGTTTCTTATCTTACATTTTTATATCTGTCAAGGGAATCCAAAAACTGTTGAATATCAAATTATCCTTGAAACCAAGTGTATACAATTCAGATTGCAATTTCTATATTCATTTATTCACTACTTAGGTCAGTTTCAGAAACTCTGACTAAAAATAACATTATGGCAATGTATAGCAGTAAGCTCAATGAATGAAGGAGATACCTAATCCAGTAACAACTGGAGAGTTTCTGAAGTCGACCATGGTTGTGAAATGGTAGCATAGTCTCAACAGCCAACTATTTATTGATGGCTTCTGGGCATTTATTGATTATTTCAGGACAATATTATTGTTTTAAGAAAGGAGCGTTGTCAGCCTTTCCTTTATGCAATATGTAGTGCTCTGAGGATAGAAATCAAAGCTATAGAATAACATTAAGGCTGTCTTGTATATAAGGAATCTGTATTTGTGTTGCATTATTATATAATAATTACAATGGCAGTTTCAAATAAAAGTTGAAACTGTAAAAGAGCAGAATAGGAAACCATACCAATCTATGCGTTACACAATTTATTGAGTTATATTTATAAAAATATAACAGAGAACAGTAATTCTGGGAAAAGGTACTTCTCAGAACTCCAGAAAAACAACACAGGGATGTTTAAAATGAAGCTTAAAACTCATACTAGAAAAGCTATGTTATTCAGATTTGGTTTTAGAATTATGGTTAATGCTTCCTTTCTATTTTGCACAGAAAGTCTATATATGCTCTATTATTCTTTCTTCATATGCTGAAGGCTGTTTCATAATTTTTCTCTCTTTTTATTAGTATCTAGGTTCATGGACCATTTATTAATTTTTCTAAGAAAGTGGTGCAATTACAAGGCATGACTCATTTTCAGTCATGTTCTGAAAAATTGGATTTATCCTGAATATATCCAGAGAAAATTCTTTAATAGTATTTTTCCTTTAAATCTAAAAATGATATTCTAATAGTTGTCACATAAAGGAAGTACAACTATGTACCAACAATGTTGTAATTTATAGTCATTCACAAGTAAATTTGTCACCCATATTGAAGTTTACTTTCTTTCCTTTTTATTTCCCCACATCTTGGCATTTGCTTCATTCTTGTAGATCCTTTTCCTACTTTGCTGAGATAATGACTTTTTCAAACAGTTTCTCATCTTAGTAACTGTACAGTATAAACGATCAACTGTAATGAATTTTTTGGAATACTTTCAGAGTACTTTGGAGTTGTTTGTTGTTGAGGACTACAGTTGTTAGTTAAACTGAAGTATTCTTTTAGTATCTCAAAAAGAAAATTCGTATATTAAGCAATATAAAGTGAAATGTAATATAAAGACAGTCTCCTTATTTGTAACTGTTTTTCCTTATAATGTTCTTCATATGTATATTTATATGTAACCTTGGGTATGCCATACTAGAACTTTTACTAGAAAGGATTATCCTGGCAGTATTCATAACTGCGTACTGCATAAATCCATCCTTTACTTCTGATGAAATAAAGAGCAGAACATGCCAAGCTGGCTTAGTTCCTCTCAGTCCGAGGATCCCGACAGAGACAGGCTTCTGAGGAAAGGACTTGGAGTATTGGGAATGGATGCATACATAACGCACTGTTACCGATTCACAGCCCATCTTTCTCTTTGAAGTAACTGTCTGTGTGGATACTGACACTGTGAACAACTGCAACTGATATAGCACAGAACTGTTACCTGAGCCCTTAACTGAATAAGATCTGAAAGAGAGCATCCCAAAAGTGGCACTGGTTTTAGACACCTCAGCAAGAGCGAAGTGTTTAACAAAAGTGTGAATGGAGCCCAGGGCATCTTACTTAACATCTTTATAAATAAATGAATGGTAAGGAAGCCTCTGATATTCCTTGCACTCTAGTTAAATTGACCTTTATTGGAATGAAATATTCTCTTCTATCAAGCTTATAGTATTGCTTCACAGTCTGTAATCCAATGAGGCATATTAACACAGAATTTGTCAGCATCACAGAGATGAAAAGATGAGGAGTTTTTCTGAAAGTCCATGTTCTGTTTATATAAAAGAATAAAGATTAGCTAAGACTAAGTGTATAGAGTTGCCACTGCTGGAGAAGCAGTGGATTTTAAGGAAAGAATAGGTAAAGTAATTCCTTACAGAAAGGAAAACTGGAAACCATCCTGGGCAGGAATTTTGAATGGACTTCAGAAACTACCTTATTCTGTAGAAAGCTGCATATGGAAATACATTCATAAAGACTTGCATCTCACTTCAATTTTCTGCCTGAAGTAGCAGCTACCACAAATGCTGGTTTTGGAGAGGGTAATACAAAGAGCATATAGTCGTAGATTGAAAGGCTTCCGCATTAAGTGGGACAAAAAGTGAGATCTGCCTGAAGTGGTGATGGTGGTTTTTTTTTTTTTTTTTAACTTCTATATTTTGTTGCCTGAAGGGTTTGATTCCCATAGCTCTTTATATCTTTCATAAAGACCTTTGGTGTCATAGAGAGACTGAAGGGTAGAATTTTAAATTGAAAATGTTTATGTCCACACACAATATTTGATGTGAAGATCTGATTGAGCAGAGAATGCCTCCCCTGTTAAGTGCAGGGAATCAGCTCTGTGACAGTGAGGTTGAATTTTGAACTGGAGCAGATTCTTGTGACAGGGATCAATAAAGAAAAACGAGAATGGAGGATTGAGGGGAGATATTCTGGAAACTGAATAGAGGAATCATGGGCTACCGTGCCCAGAACTCACTTGCCAAGGTGAAAGCCTTGTTGTTCGATAGTTTCAACTTGGGATTTTTGATATCACTCTACTAGGTGCAAAAAGGGAATTGTTCACAGCTCTGTGTTTACAAAAACCTTGTCTCACTGAAGATAGTGCAGTGTAGTGGAACTGATGCCTGAGAGGCATCAACATTTAGAAAGTTTTTCTATCTCAGCAAGACTTAAGCACATAGGCTGTGAAAAAGAACGTTTACAGCACCAAGTTAGACAACAACATGAAAACTTTCTTCTGGTAAATTGGAGGTTTCCTAGATAACTCAGAATAGGTCTAGAGTTTCAGAGTGGAATACCTTGCCGCTTTCGTTTCGTTTCAAAGGAGAGGTTCTCTACTACCTCTTGTTGTAGTCCAGAACACAGGAATTAGATTGGCCCCTCAAAATGCATAATACAAAAGCTGATTTTCCACAATGTCAGAGGCATCTAAAGCTTTCTGTGTGGCATCCCCCAGTCTTTTAGTGAATTCTGGGAAAAACTTATTGATTGTGTATCTGAATCCAAAGGGTTCCTTCAGGACCAAAGAATAGAAGATCCTCCTGTGGGAGGTGGGGAGTGATTAGAAGAAGGCAGCCATGGCACCAGTAAACAGAATAGATGGGGGCTTGACCTGTGCAGTTTTCCAGAGAAAGAATTGCAGTG